CGCCGGCCGCCCGCGGTGGGGGTGCTTCCGGCACTCGGATCCCGAGTGTGGTCAGGGCTCACGCCGGTACATTTCCTTCTTCGGTGTAAAAGGAAATAAATGAGGATTTTGTTGTTGTTTTTTGAGTCGGGGCGGAAGGAGGCTCAGAATCTGGGGACGCATTCTAGTACAACCATGTTCCTTCAATGAATGAGAACCTGAGGCCGGGAGAGGGGAGGTGAGCTGCCCAGGTTTAGGGAGCTAGTGGTTCAGGTTCTCCATCACTTTCTTAGACACGCTGTCTGCTACGCTGTGCTGCTTTGTACTAAGACAGCTTTAATGTAAAATGTGTTGCTCCCGGAGAGAGAATGAATCCTGTTTTAAAAGAATACTGGAAATTCTTGCAACTGTGGCGGTAGAAGCAAAGAACAAAAGCAATGATTTGACTAATTTCGGCCTAACACTCTCTCCTTTTGACTCATTATCAGGACTTCGGGGTTGAGAGGTTGGGACCAGTGGGAAGGGGGTCAGTTACTCACCTCTGCTCTGGCCTGTGCCCTTCTTTGTTCTGTTGACAGCCAAAGGGGACACAGAGGAAAGACGTCTTTTCATTCTGTTAACATGATTGAGACCAGCAGCTGTATCTGATGGTTAAGTGACACGTGAGCTAATGGAAACGAAGTATACATACCTTTATCTGACACTTGTCCAAAGTAACAGTAATAGTGTTAGGTAGTTGAGATAGAAATGAACGCTGGGCAGGGGGAGAAGAAGGGGAAAGGAACAACCCAGAAAATGGCAATGTCTGCATTCAGGAAAAGGGACACCAGATATTTTTACTTTCTCTGAATAAGGGCCAGTAAAAGAAGCCAGTTAAAATCAAAGCACTGCAGCTGCGCATAGGAGGGGACCTGGTATAACTTGACCCGACGAACCTGCCCAAAACGGGATGGGTGTTAACAGAGCACAGGGAACCTGAGTTGTCAATCAATCAATCAATCAATCATGAAACCAGGATATGAAAACAGGAAAAACAAAGGAATGGCGCCATGTTTCCTCTCTTGGATTGGCCTGCTCCCAATTCTCGGGAGTGTAGTATCTTTTACTATTTTTTTTTTTACTTCACTAATAAAAATCTTGCTTATATCACATTTTCTGTCTCTTGTCAAAAGAAAGTTTTTTTCAGGTGACTAAGAACCAAGGTAATTCTTACTTTCCTTTTCCCGGTAACCATAGCAAGGCTTGAACTGAATTCTTCTGCTTTTCGGCACCATGCTAGGTGTTTCATAGACTCCTCACCACAAACTCCACTTTACAGCTGAGGAAAGTGAGTCAGGAGAGGTTAAGTAACTGCACAAGGTCACACAGCTAGGAAGTAGCAGAAACAAGATTGGAGCCAAACCAGTCAGTCAACTGTTTAGTCCTTTCCCAGAGTGTTGTGCTTTCTGCCTCCCACCATCACCTGAAAGCTGCCGGGCAGATTCCAGTCAAGGAACTTGGAGTTCAGTTCAAATTTAGCCCTTTCAGAGAAGACTACGTAAAAACTCTACTCTACTTCACATGATGTTGGTAACATACCTTGTTCTTTATTTGTACTTCAAACCATCTCCTGAAGATAATATAGAGCAGTATGGATGTTACAGGGATTCAGAAAATGGTAAATTCTCACCCTTGTCCATTACATGGAAAAGCAGTACTTTGTGTCTGTCATAAATAGTTCCAATGTCAACACAAAAAACTATTTCCTGGCATATAGAATAGTACCTAGGATGTCTAACAGAACAAAGCACATATTGAAGTCAGCTCTGCTAGGGAAAATCATACATCGCATGTAGCAGTTCCCCTAATGCAAAATTAGACTTTCAGTATTCTCTCTGATATTTTCATTATAGTCCAGATTTCTTAGTATGGCAAGCAAAAAAGTTATGATCTTCGGACCTAAACACGGTGCCTGGCATGTCTGTAAAGCAAAGGAGGAAGGAGCGGACGTGAGGGAGAGGAGGGTTGAGGGTGGCCAGTGGCCCATTAACTTGCCCAGGGAGCTTCTAGGATCTATGGCATTCCTAATGTACTGTTTCCAATACCTTCTTTTTCATCTTTTGCTTTTAGTCAGTTGAGTTTAAAAGCTCTGCCAGAAGACAAGAAAAGGAATACTATCCAGTCCCCAACTTATTTATTCCAAGAGTCATTAAAAAGTCAATTATCTCCTTTCCATAATTCATTTTCTCATGAAAACAGTGTCATAGATAGTCAGGGTTGGCTCAGCCACTCAGACCTGCCTAGAAGTCCCCAGAATTCTGAATCAATCAACTTGGGATCCTCCTGCAGATCCTGGGAACAAGATGCCAAGATGACAGGAGAAGGTAGAGAATTCCCTTCTTGTCTTGTCTTGGACATAAACCCTGAACAGATGTGTTTGTGATTCTTACAAAACTAAGTTACACTCCTGCAGAGGTCCTTTATGTTCGTAACCTTGGGGTTGCTTTGTTAAAAGTTCTTTTCAGACCCAGGTTTGTCATCCTTCTCTGTGGCCTCCTCCTAGGCTGTTCTCCTGGGAGATCCTTAGGAATTTAGCCTCCTCACTGTGACTCCACCAGGCCTGACCTGCCCAGGGTCAGGCTGCAAACGTGCACCCCTGTCCTACCTCCACCTCCAGTCAAAGTGCAGCTGGCCACAATCTAAGAAACATGGTGTGTGAGTGCACTTTTTAAGGTTGTTGGGTCTACCTCGGGGGGGAGAGGCCACCAAGTATATGAACTCGGACAACTCTCTCTCTTTGCTAACGCTCAGTTTCCTCATTTATAAAAAGAGACCGAGCCAGATGTTCTGCCTTGTCCCTACTGACTCTCAAATTCTGTGATCCTAAGGGTCTGTGCACCGAGTTTCACAGGGTGTTAGGAGAAAAATCAGTCTGGTTGGAATCACTCATGCATCTATAAACATTGATGAACTTGTAAAATGACTAGTATTTGTACATTAAAGTTTTTTGTTTTAAAACTTTCTTTTAATTTGCAGGGCTGCTGCATTGCAGAACTCTAGAAGGCACACACATGGTTTTAAACTATGTGAATGGTGCCCCTTATGTACTTGTATTCACTTTGGTCCAGAAAATATCTAAATAGTTTCTTTCTTATATATGACTTTATTTTGTATCTATACCATTATTATCATTTTTATAAACAGCATTAGATATAGAAATAGATATATAAATAGACTGATTATATATATATGTATGTATATATATACATATATATATACTATATATATATATATATATAGTATATATATATAAACTGAGGCATAGCAAGGTTAAATAACTTGCTCAAAACTATGGACACTGAATAGCAGATCTGGGACTTAAATCTAAAGCCCATGCTGCCTAGCTACTGATCCTCTCTTTCTGCCTCTTTTATCTGCATCTGTAAAAGTGGTTAATTTTGCCGAACTCATAAAGCTATATGAGTCTTTAGGTGAGTCTCAGGTGAGAGAGAGTAAGCAGAAAAGTTTTAAAACCATAAAATGTGATTCACCCGAGAGGCATTGTTGTTAAATCCTTTATAGCATCTTGAACGTGATCCACAGAATGAATTAAATGCAGTTGAGCCTTTTACACATATATGCTTCAGTTCATTGACAAGACTCATCAAGCAAGGCACCTTCAACCTGACATGCTTATCACCATGGAATAATTTTGGGATTGCGGTAACTTTAGAAGAGACTTTTGGCGGGGGGAGGGGATGATCCAGGTTGAGATCGTCCAAATTTTTAGTTGTGACATATACCTCATGGAAATCAATATATTTAACTTGAAAAAAAGCATACCATCACTGTTTGGAATTATATTTTACATATAACTGTGTCTGTTTTGCATGTCTTAGAGGCAGGAAATTGTTTTCTTCCATTCTGAGAACTGGAACAGAACTTTGCATTGTAGCTACTCAGTGTTTACAAAAGTGAATTGAGCTAGTATTCCCATTTTCTTACTTACTGTCTAATTCCTTTTAGAGCCTGTGCATATAGGAAACTCAGTTATTAGGCTGTATATCTCTTTAAATGAAATGATACTGCAGATTTCCCTTCTCCAGCAGCTCAGCACATGTTAGAACACACCTTGGGTTTCAGCCAATGACTTTTCCTCATGGAGATGTTTTGTTACTTAATATGTTACCTCTAAACCTGAAATAGAGTTGTCTGTGATTCTTATAAAAATAAGATACACGCCTGCACAAGTGCTCTCTGTTCATACTTATTGGATTGCCTCGTTAAAAAAGT